ATAACTGAGAGCTTAGAGGACCATTTTTAAGCATTTCTCTGTCCCACCAATTGAATGTCTGTCATGATTAAAAACTATGTTTAGAACCTATATCTCTCATAAAACTACCATCTGAACATGACTGATATACCCAAATGTTCAACTGTCTTAGAAAGAGCTCAAAATAATGTTGACTATATATCTACAGATAACAAAACTTCTTCAAGTATGCCACAGTTCTCTTCAAGATGAAGTGGGACTGCTCCAGTAATAAAGGTGACAGAACACAGTATCATTTCATTTTCTCCAATCCAACATGAATTATGTGAAAAAGGAGCCTATAATCAAAAATAAAATTAGGACACTACACCCAGCCACACAGCCATTAAATCTTCTAAAATGCAAATGACTACACTAATCCTGAATTTAATTTAGAATTTATACCTTGACTACACCTGAAGAAGGCACGGCCTCTCCAGCTCATCTGTGACCCCCAGTCATCCACCCCAGAGGCAAGTCTCAATGAACAGGGAAGGTGTGCTCTGTGATAAAAAGGTTATCATGCATTTAACCAAGCTAAGAGCACTTCCTAAATTCTAACCTAGAAAAAAATAAATGATGAAAAAATAAATAAATAAATAAATGATGGAAATAAAGGTGCCGCTTCAACCTCTGTTATCTGGGGCTAAGCTGTAATTCATTGGCAATCTTACTGCTGGGAAGAACATTAGAATAAATCAGTTTTTACATCATTAGCTAAATCAGAACTAAACAACAAGACAGGCCTAGCTGAAGTTTTGGCCTGTCTGATCCTGTCCTCCCATCTGGGAAACATGGACACCAACACTGCCTCTAGGACTGTGGGTACAGCTCAGAATGGTGCAGACGACACACATTAGCTGCTATCATTTTCATCATCATTTCATTACTGTCTTCAGTACTCACATTGTGACTCATTTATACAACAAACTATAGGAAACAATGGTCCTCCATGTAAACAGAATGAAAATCTTCAATAAAGCAGACAACACTGCACTCACGTGGCTTCTGGCAGGAGAGCATTTCCAAAACAAGGTACAGTGTCCTTGGAGGGGAGAGGACACAGGACCTACTGTCTCACAGGAAACAGCTCACCCCAAAGCATGCCCTCCAAGGAGTCAGGTCAGCTGCATGCACATGTACACATATTACACAAACACATACATGTAGTTGTGAATAAATGCTATGCCAATTATCAACTCACAAAGCACTTACAGGGTATAATCCAGGCTCCTTTTATCTGACCTCCTCTTCCAAGTAAACACAGCTGGAGAGACTGTTTTGCTTATGGTACATGCACAAAACTGATTCAGATGATCTGGCCTTCCCCCATGAAAGCCAGATACCCAAGGGCCTTTAAACCTGGGGCTGGAAGACTTGTTTACAACAGAATGGGCTAAAGTAAAGACGTCCTGGAGAACGTGTGTGAAGAGCAGAACAGGTTAGCACACTGCGAACAACAGGCCATATACAACCTGCTTGCTCTGGTAATGAAGTGACTAGAACCCCCCGCCTACCCCTGCTCGGAGTGTCTGGGAAGGCTGTGCACTGCCACAAAGACCACTTAGCCCACGAAGCCAGAAATATTTACTATCTGCTCCTTCACTGAAAACGCTTGCCAGTGTTTTAGAGAACCTGTGAAATCAAGTGTCAGTTCATAAGGGAAGGTCAGTGAGTCTGGGAATACCGGAGGCAGAACATAGGCAGAAACCACACAGGAAAACCTGCCTTCTCTCCTGCCTCCAAGCACAGTAAACTCAGAGTAGCCTCACCAAATCTTCCCATTAACTGATACAGAACTAAGATACAGAAACAAAGTTTACAAGTATTAACATTGTATTAAGGATATTTTTTTCTGAAAGAAGTAGTACTTTCAAGACTCAGGAGCCAAGGTTCCTTTATAAAGCATACACAAAAACATACACCTGCATTTTTTTCATCTGTATCTCACATGATACAGTCTAATGTTGAGTAGTTTACTGACTCTATCCTCACCTACTATATTTGGGAGTTTATTATGATCTCCAATAGATACATACAAGAAAACTTCAAAGATACAGTTTAAATCATAAGTGATATGATAATATTTTTGAAAAAGGAACTGGTAAGATCCAAACCAGGAGGATAAATAAGACTGGGTAAATATTAGGTTTTAGCTTTCTACTGTCTTCCTGTTACACACAATCAAGGTAGCCTGGTCCTAAGTACTAAGGGATACATAAATAGCAATTTTGCTTCCTGAGTTACTTTATATTTTATTAATTAAAACAAGTATTTTGATGACCTGTATACAACTAAATATAGTAAAATTGCTTAGGAATAGAATTTTAAAAATCACTTTGCATGGCAAGTTTTTCAAATTTAAAAACTGAAAGTAAATAGAAATATTCTCCACAAACACCAAGAAAAAGTGCAAAGAAATCATCAAAACATAAAGACAGGAAGCAAACTGCTACATCTGTATCATTTCTATCACCAAAATTAAATGATAAATGACCCCAAAAGGAGTCCATTAAATGACCTTAAGTAGCTTTGACTACTTAACTTCCAACCAAGTCAAGACTTTATGCAAAACGAAGCATTTGCCAGTACCTGCTACCTTGGTAAGCAAGATACCTTTATAATCTGAAGTACACAACTGCTATTTCAGAAGCTACCTGAAAACCAAAATAGGTAACATTTCCAGAATCGTTTTTTTAAGAATAGTCTGTTAACAGAAGAATCTGTTTTAAAAATAAGTTGCAACATTTCAGAAACAACCATATTATAAAGTCTGATTATTTTAACTAAGATAAGACCATTAAAAGTTATGAAGAAACATTTAGATCAGTCATATCACCGTATTTGAGATGATTCACCATTTTAAGAATAACAAACCTGTATAACACAGTCTAACAACACTCAAGAAATACAAGCCAAGGACATTTGATATCTCACAATTACATGAAAACAATTTTAGAAAAATTTTTTTAACTTGAGACACTTAAATACAATAGCCCTCAAACTTAACTGTTTTCTAGATTATTCAACATTTAAATTACATCGACACAGAGCCAGTGCTCTGGGACAACCAAGAGGGACAGGTGAGGAGGAAAGTGAGAGGGGGGTTTCAGGGCTGGGGGGAACACATGTATACCTGTGGCCAATTCATGATGATGTACGGCAAAAAAATCAGGATCTTATAAAGCAATTATTCTCCAATTGAAATAAATTAATTTAAAACAAAAGCAAGATTTTAAAGAATGACATATTTTACTGTTTGCCAGGACCATGCCCTTGTCAGCAAGACTTGTCTCCATAGATACTGTAGAGGTGCTTCCATGATTCAAAGTTCTTCCTTGAGCTTGTTCTGCCTGATTAATGACTCAAAAGTGAATTATCTGTGCCATTATGTGTTAATACCTGAAATCTATTATTATCTAATATATTAAGATAAACCTTAAACATTTGCTTTTACTAATATTACTTTCATATTTTCTAAGTTTAATTGTATTCAAATGGTCTTATGTGTAATTAAGTTTCAACATCAAAACAAATACTTAGAATAGAAATTCAATAAATTCCACAAAATTCCACAGTTCTAGTCAACAATATGAAAATATCCATGCCCACATTTTAAGCACTTACCATATCACTAATTATAAGATAGAAATGATGAAGACACAAAGGGTACCACAATTGAATCTCAATTTCTTACAAAATAACTTGGACTAAAATCTATTTTATTTCTGCCAAACAGTATATTATTCTTGGAAATGGAAACAGAACATGGTAAGCACTTGAAAAGTGATTCAAAAATGTGAATTAAAGGTTAACTATTTATTAAGACAGAATAAGATAAAAGGACAGTGTTCAGAAAACTGGTGCCGAAAATTCCAGTGATCTGCTCAAACTCATCGGACTGATTACAGAACAAACCCAAACCCCAGCATGTGCACTCTCCCGGCTCGCTGGTCTCAGGTCTGGACACTCCTTCCGCACACTCCAGCCCTCCCTCTGTACTGAGCACAGGCTTCTGTTCCTCAGCCCACCAAGTGCCACTGCCAGGATGTGGGAGGCAGAGGAGGGAGGAGATTAGGGGAGACATGCCAGGAGATGCCTGCACTCAGAAAACAACCTCCAGCTCAGATCCGGGCACACTCGTAGATCTCTCCCCTCTATGGCCATGGCCATGGCCAGATCAGAGCCGAGTGAGAAAGGGCCCAAAAGCTGGGTTGGAACTCTGGACCAAAGCTCTTGTCATGTCAAGGGACTAAGTTCTAAGCTCAATTCTCATCCTTTGTTAGCCTTTCTCTCTTTGAAAATATGACTAGCTGAGAGAGAAATGCCATCTAAATTTTTCAGTTTCATAGTACTATCCACATTACTATCACTGCTGGCTGAATGTCAGGGACATGACACACCAAACAGACTTCCCTACAAGGACCAATGCCTGTGCAGTATTTTTCCTAAGGGAAAGTAGTTCACAACAATGGTTATATAAACAGATTTCTCAAAACACAGCCCTCACAGGATATAGTGATATATTTCTATGATAATTTCATTTAGCTATATTATTAAGTAATTTTATGTTTTTAAGAAAAAGTCCTCCATATGCTATGAGGTATCACTCTTATTAAATTACTATCCCCAAAGGTATAAACACAGTTGCCAAAGATTCTATGGCCAGGAACATCTTTACCTTCTATCTTGAGAAAAGGTACCTGTGTGATGTTTAATGAATGGAACAATACCCTACTAATAAAGTGACAACAGCATATAATTAAAACATAAAAGTTATTTACTTGTAATCTGCTATATGTTTACAGAGAATAAGAATTAGAACAGTTTTCTAACTTACTTTCCTCTTGCATTTTATACCATGCTGATTTTTACTGCGCTCAGTCAAGCCAGGATCAATAAACAGTAGTGAGGAACACAGATGTCACTCATATCTACTTATCAAGTGCTTTCAGAGCAAAACCACAGATACGAATACTTACTTATCAAAGCTATCACTATTTTTGATGAAGCTCTCCAGCTTTTCCTTGGCATATTCCACCACATCTGAATGAAGTTCAATCCCATGATTTATTCCAAAAGGACCTGCAATTGTAGCAGCAGCATTTATAAACAATATTAAGAATGCCTTTACAGAGCTCTTTTAATTTCTGTTCATTTATCTATCACAGGAGCATTTAAAGAGAACTCAAAATGTATCTACTAGCCACAGATTTATAAAGCTATATGGAAATCTATTTACATTGCTTTAAAAAAAAGTAAGTCATAAAGAGTTCTCTCAGGAGTGTAGTTTATCTGTCAGGACAATACTGCCAAAGAAATAATCACATTTCCATATGAAGTTTAAGTCATTTGCCATTATGTTTTCCATTTCACCATAGGTTACCATTATCTATCACTTGCTAAAAAACTTGGTTAACTCTCAAATGTCTGAATCCATGGGCTGACACAGGTGTGCACCCCATTGCCCAGTGAGTACCAAATTCTTCCAGGGCTGAGATCACACCCTCTGTCCCTGGAGCTCCCAGTGTCCAGGGGAGTGTGGTCACTGGGCAAAGCTGGTTGATGCTCCTGTTCCAGTGCACTTCTCACTTGGTATTTCTTCCTGCACAGCCAAGGATGGGTGACCATCCAGGAATGAGGCGCAGGAGACAGTCCCGGGATGGCTCCTTCCCCAACCCTGGTCCTGGCTGAGAACATGACCACCTGGATTCCTGTTTCCTAAGGCGACTGTGCCTCTGCCTGCCCTGCAACCCCCTGACAGTGACACACTATCTCACCTAGTCACCGGCTCCTCCTAGACTTCTGACACTGAGCCAACCAGGTTTTCCACTCTACATTTTTTTCCCCAAATTTTAGTTATATTTTTATCTTACTTCGCAATTGGTCTCCCAGTGGGGCGGGGGGGGGGGGGGGGGCGGTGCGCATGGGTGTGTTATTTTTTGGTTATCTGGTTCATATCTTTGGAACTACCTGAATGTGCCCCTACTGAATGCCATTAAAAACACAACATATATGGGAGTGCTATAGACCTCAAAGGACTTTAAAATAACCAAAAAATCACATTTACATTTAAATAAACATTTTTGAATGTACAAAGGGGGTATGAAAATATCAGCTTGTAATCTAGGAATTACCTAATTACAAAAATTAAACCAAACTTTAACGGCTTAATTTAATTAAGATGGTTCGGATACCATCTTCAAGTTGAAAGCAGATAAACCTACTATATTTCTATTGATTTGCTTAAAAAAAAAAAAAAACTGATGCTACTTGAAAAATGTATTTAGATAGAAAGATTAAATAAAAAGGTACTTGATCCATCATACCACAAAAGAGAGCATTAAATTCCTTTGCAATGCTTTTATACCTTTTTAAAGTTATTCTGATCAATGTAATCTTAAATGTTTCACTTCTCGGTTTTTGTTTCATCAAACCATAAGCCTTTATCTGCAAATTAGAGCATCCATTCAATATTATTTAAGATCGCTTATAATTCCTTATTATTAACAAATAGACAAAAATTAGACTTTTTTTTAAAAGAAATGAAAATGGCAAAAAAAATTAAACAGAGAAGTATATACAGTGACATCACTTTTTAATTTAGTATTGAATCTTGAATAGTGTGAAAACTTGGACTTCCTTAAGGAAACAAAAAAGGCTAAGAAACCCTGAATAGTTTTGATTTGTTGTTTGGTTGCTCAGTCGTGTCCAACTCTTTGAGACCCATGGACTATATAAAACACCAGGCTTCCCTGTCCTTCACCATCTCCCAGAGTTTGCTCAAATTCATGTCCATTGAGTCAATCATGAATAATGATTATGAATAGTTTTCCTCATTTAAAAACCTCAAATTACACTACAATTATTTAACATTATATATATATAGTAAGGAAAATATTGCTCTAGGAAATCTTAATTTTTCTTTTACCCTTTTAAAGTAATCCACTGAATGTAAAACATTAAGAGACACTTATATTTTCATTAACTATTAAGAATCTAGTTGTATGGATGAGAGATCACTAAAAGGTCAGTATTTCTGGGGTTGAAGTTTCCAATAGAACTGAATGAATAAGCACTATAAGAAAGGTGTCAAGAATGTAGAAATCTAGGCTGCTATTCAGTATTTCAAACTGCTTTACTAGCAGAGGGAGTCAACTTGAGTGCTCTGGATCAAAAGGGACTACATATGCTGTCACTTAAGACAGCTCTGGTCTCATTTTCCTTTTCTTGTTTTCTGCTCATATAATATCTAAAAGCAAAGTGGCAAGTTTTAGAAATAAGGCTTAAAGTTTGCTAAGAAAATTTAAGACTTTTTCACATCAGCTTGACACAAAATAAAGACAACTTCATTAACATACAATGGATTTGACAGATAAATGTACATACTATCATTAATTCTGATACAAACACCACTGATGATTTAATGGATGGACTTGTTTAATTTTAAAATAACATGGAGGTATATCTTTATTATCACTAATGAATTAAACAGTAATTGATATACTGAAAAGAATGCACTAATAGAAGGCAGAACTTATATGGCAATGTCACCAACGTCTCATTTATTTAGAATGTGATATACAAGTAGAACACATCAAGGATATGATAGAAGTGTATGTGATGCTTTTTATTACAGTTCATTTGACACCTGTATTGAACAGAACAGAAAAATAGAACACAGGAAACTGAAAAATATGCAGCTGCTTCCAAGGAAGGGGACAAAGAGGTCTTGGTGGGAAGAGACATTTCCATCATTACACCCTGTTGTCTAAAGTGTGTCAACACAGGCATGCACAACTTTTTCAACCAAAAAATGATGTGCTAGTCAGAGATTTTTTTTTTTAAGTACACGATTTTCAAAGAAATGAATAAATAATACAAAATAATTCTAACACAAAGGTATAAGCTGTCACTTTAGAAAATGAAAAAGGCATGCAAAAGCAAAGCCTAAGACTTCCTAACATCATCTAACAGACACAGCATGAATCTGACTGCACTGAACAGATTCCAATGTTATTCTGTGCCAATGGGAAGAGATCTTTCTAGAAATAATAAAAGTTTAATTTCTGTCATACAATTTTTTTTAACTTTAAAAACCTTGTCATACAATTTAAAAAAAAAAAAATCAAAGTACTAACAGTTGACCACTACCTTTAATAGCTAAATACTGAAAGAGAAACTTACACATAAGTCAATGTTTATTAAGACAAATACAGTTATTAGAAGAACCTAGATACCCTATATTAGAAATTATTTTTAAGGCTGGCAAAAGTTCAGTAACAAATACAATAAAATGTCAATATAATAATAATCTCGAGAGAATGTTTTTCTTCTGTGATACTTGAATTAGCTTATTTATCACCTTCCAGTCAGTCAATAATCAGAACTTATACATAAAGGTCGCCGATTATTATGTCTAGGTATCAGATGTCTCAGGTGTCTATCAACATCTCCATTTCTCATCTGTATATCCCTTACTCCACTCCTCTCTGAAGTACCAGAAAGGTGACCGAGTGTGGTGTGCAGGTGGAAGGCTGTACATGGTAGGTGCGGGAACCTGAGAGCTGCATGAGCCGAGGACGCCTGTGCCCTCCGTCCTGTGTGGAGAGCTAATCTGTGGGACAGCCATAGCAAGACCACTTCACAGTACATGGTATGTGACTAGAGGAGCCCTAAAGATGCACTTAGTCACTGGGCAGGGGCCGGGGGGGCAGTGGGTGCAGGGGGAGACACAGAGGGTCCAAGGCCAGTGCCTGTTTCCAACTCTGGCCCCTACAGCTGCACAGTCAGACCAGTCACGTTCCCCATGAGGTCCTGCCTACCATGTGAAATGGGTCTGTGGGAAATCACCTAAATGATGTCAGAGTCTTTCATACCATAAAATACAAGACAGCTACAAATCACCAGAAATTCAAGTGTGCTCTCTCTGCAAATACACAACTGGTTAATCACAGCACCAAAACCACAGCCTGTTTATAAGTGGTTCTCTACCCTGACTGCACGTTAGAATAACCTGGAGATTTTTAAATTAAATTTAAAAGTAGATTAAATTTATTCTGATTTAAACTGTGAACAGGGGGAGGGAGTCCCTCAAGGAGAGGCCAAGGCACCGCAGGTGACCCTAACAGGCAGCTTTACTGACCACACTATCCTCACTCCCCTCATTGCTGCAGTGCCCAACCTAAATGTGTGTTTAAATCTCTTTGGACTATCAGATCTGTGCTCTCTTGGGTAAAATGACATAGAGAGATAACCACCACCAAAAAAAAAAAAGAGAGAGATAACAACCACAAATAAAAGCATCAGGATAAAACCAAGTATTTACCACAAGAGGGAGTAGCTGAACCAGTTATTTGGTTTCTAGGAAACTAGTGTAAAGTTTCTCAGCAAGAATTAAAACATTCAGTCATCCTTCGGTATATGGGGGTCGGGGGAGAATGGGGGGGCTGACTCTAGGACCAGACCCTGCAAATACCAAAATATATGGACTGTGGACACACAAGTCCCTTGTATAAATGAGAGAAGTATTTGCATATATGATCTGCACATCTGTATATCCTCCCCTAACTGTCTCAACTACTCAATACCCAATACAATGTAAATACAGTTGTAAATACAATGTAAATGCTATGTATACAGTTGCCAGCATGTAATAAATTCAAGTTTTGCTTGGCAGATGAATCCTCAAACCCTGGATACAGAAGGGCAACTATATACAGGAAAACACCCTTAAATAAAGTGCAATGATACTTCGTTACTAATTCCAGGCATCTTTGGGAAGATTCAGGAGTAACTTCATAAGGATTCAGAGACAGCAGTAACAGGCGGAGAGCAGACATGAGCAGGTCTCTTTCTGAGAACACCCTACCAGTGTGGTGCAAAGAGACAAAGCAATGCAAAGGGGGATAAAGGAAAGGGGAGGAAGATGAATCAGCCAAAGATTAAGGAACCAATAACCAAATTAAGAGAAACTTACTAAGATACACCTATTTTCCTATGGTTTCTCCATTTGATTATATGATGCTAAAAAAGCACATTAACAAAAGCACTGTCAAACATTTCCTCAATCTCGCCACATTAAA